AGTCTGAGAGAGGGGGGTGAACAGCTGCGAGGTGTTTTACCCCCTGTTTTTGCACCTCTCTTACAAAAAACACAGCTCTGTGATGAGGAACATATGCTATAGGCTCTGTTTTAACCATCTACAGAATTACCCCCAATAAATAACTCAAGGACATCCGTTGTCTCATGTTCCCCATGGGTCAAAAATGTGCAAAATCACTACTCTGTTTTAGCTGTATGTCCATTTTTGTTTTATTAATCTCACACTACATAATAGCGGTTGTGTCTTTTGTAAATATCTGTTTCACACCTCTACAATTACTCAAACCTAACTCAAGGACATCTGTCGTGTCCTCTTTTGAAACTAAATATCTGGTCAGCTCTATACTTTCTATGCACCATTTGTTTTATTCACTATATAACATTACAAACAGAAACCCCAATAATAATGGTTATGTCTTTTTTTAAAATAGCCGTTGTCTCCTCATTTTTGAAACTAAATATCAGCTCAACTCTATTTAATATACAAATCACTACTATACTTTCTATATACCATTTGTTTTGGGGGCGGGACAAAGCTTCTGATTGGATAACCTTTCACCTAGAACTGTCAAATCAAGTTTGATGAAAGCCGGTATCTATACTGTGTGTGAGGTGGTTGCACATCCACTGGCTTGTTGAGAAGGACAGGAGGTATACCATGTAGTTTATCAAGAATCAACAAAAAGAAGAAGCTGCCAGAGTTTTTATATGTAGCAGAGGTGCACAGCAAGAACAGCTTATTTTAATTTGTGATGTGCCCTGAGCTTAAAAGAAATCCAGTCTCTCCTCTATAAAACTATAAATCAGCTGCGACAACAGCTGCAGTATCAGAGGATGACAAGCTGGTTGGTTTTGGCTCTTGTGTCAACAACACCTGGTGAGAGATTTGAGACAGCAGGCATGATGGTTATGCAGCCTTCATTCTTCAGAAATGCTGTGTTGCAGTGACAAAGATGCAAAAGCCACAACCATACCAGTGAAAGATGCAGCACTCAGCCTCACACACACCTCACATGCTCTTACTGAAGCCATGGATGGGTCTCATTATTCTTTTAATTTTCCCCAAAGAGGTGTAATATATATGGTCTGTGTAAAAGGGTGAAAATGTGACAGAATAGTAAATGGTCTTATATTTGTATAGCGCCTTTCTATGCTTTACAGCACACTCAAAGCGCAAAGACATAACATGCATGTTCTTAAGAGGACTACAATAAGAATCAAAACAATTATTTTGTTCCACAGTCTTATCCAGAGTAGTGAAGTCCATTGTATTTGTGCTCTGCTGTTGATACTGTGTCAGAGATATTCAAACAGGTCACTAGATGGTGCTCACTGTATGTGCTAGTCAAGAACTTAAAACCCCCTGAGTTTTCAGCACTGCAGAATAAATCCTGCAGACAAGCTGAACACAAGCTAACGTCTTCTGTCTCTTTCTTTGTAACTACAGCTGGGTTATTATTCCTCTAAATGAGATGTACATACCACTGGAAGCATACAAATTAGACAAAATAGCCTTTCACAGACTCTCATTCACAACCACATATCACGCATGTACCTATCTAAATGCCATTGTATATGAAACATGAAATCATGTGGCTCAGGGATAGACTGTCTTCTTAACATATGGATGTAACATGCTTTCTGTCTTCTTCCCATTCTCCATGTATGTAGATGAGATCACTAACTTCTTGTTTGACCACTTTACCAGCAGAAAAAACTTTCTTTGCCATATTCCTTAAGTGGACAGTCAATACAGTACCAGCTCTCAGTGACTAGATTAACTTCCTGCATTCTACTTTGGGGAATTCGCTTTACTTTTCCCAGTGCCCCGTGTGTTGCTGCTTTGACATATTGCTCTGTGAAGAAGTTGTATATTTTGAGCCTAATGGCTCGAGTCCTTTCACTTGGTCCTGAAACAGCTGTCTCTTTTAGATTCTTAGTGTCTCAAACCATTAACTGAAGTGTGTCTTCTGCAGCAGTTTCAAACTCTGAAAACATTTCTGACAGCAGCAGCTCATACTGTGTGGGACATCCTTCATATATGATTCTATGATTTCAAACAGTTGCAAACTAATTACCATCTGGACACCCAGAGTTCCTACTAGTGTTCCTGTGTCAGCTGTACATATAGTTTTGATTGATTGATAGACTGACAGTTTGATTGAAAAAAAAGTCAATATTTTTATTGTGCAAAGTCTCACCGTATTTTTTTCAGTGTAGAATTGACAGTGGCAAATGGCTAGCAGCTGGGTGAATCAAACCTCTATCCTTCCACACAAATGAAACCATGGGTGCCTGTGTTCATTTCTTAAAGTTTTTAAAAACTCAAAAGAGCACGCACTTTTCTTAGATAAGATTTTATCCCTGACAGCACTGCAGCCAGACATCTAAATTTCAACTATTTTGCAGATAATAGACTGAGGTTTAAACCAGGGCATGACCGCAAACCTTTCCATTTGATTCTTCATTCATACCTGTCATAAATTATTTAATTTCATTCCATACAAACTGAGATACAAACAGTATATTCTGTGCTAATAACATTTTACATACAGCTGTGTGTGCAGTTTTAGATATTTTTTGCAGTCGAAACATGTCAGTTATCCATGAAAAGGCCATTCATAGATATGTATAGACAATGATTTATTTGTTGGCATATTACAGATTTTAACACCTCATCAAATTAGGACATACATTCATTAGTAAGGCCAGGAGGGTGCTGGCATACTGTAAGCAATGTACATTCACTGAACTCATCTTCATGGCATGTGATTATCATTTGGTTATGGTTCTGTTTAAGAATTACTTTGTTCAAATCCTAAAAATCTTTCCAGCAGTATTTCACCCTTTGCTCTGATGCAGTGCACGTTAAAGGGCATGCAACGGTCTCATTGTAACAGATTCAGTAACACAAAGTTCACTTGCCTAATATGCCTACGGCAGTTTCTTGACTGACAAAGTAATGCCATAAACCACGTGGAATACTTAAAACTAGGATGCTACTGAAAGGGTATAAAAAGGTTCTTGACTATTTACAAAGTTTCAAGTTAATTTTGTACAAAGTAAAAGTGCATCAAATCCTGTGTGTTTATCAGGATGAAAATGGTACAAGAAAAGAGTGAACTCTTAAGAGAGGATGCATATTTAGCAGATTCTTCTCTGTAGCAAAAATCATGAGTCTCTGAAAGTTAAACATCATGAATCTTGTCTGTACTTTGGTGACTTTAGTTCAGTTTTCTTTCTTCATAAATTATTATGCAAGTCAACTGAACATGTTGCAGATAAAACACTGAATTCACTTTACAGTATAATAATTCTACATTTACGGTAGCAAGTCACCCTTGAGGTTTTTATGTATTTTAAAATTTACCATGAGAGATAAATAAATACACGTTGGGAAGAGACAAAAGAGCAATTGGTTAAAGTTTGCCATTAGCGCAAACTGTGGCCTGATATTCTTGGGCAGATTGATCAAAGCTCGCTCTATTCTTTTTTTTAAATGGTCAAAATAAAAACCACCAGTTCCAACCTGAAGCCAAGAAAACAACAACCCCCTGATGGTCTGTGAAGGGACGGCTTTGAGGGGACGGCAGTGAAATACATACACAAAGAAGGCCCTAATGTCGCAACAGTGCAGGAACGCTAAGTGAGTGTGACAGTGCCTACTCTAAGGGTCAGAGGTCGTGGTGTGGGACAGATCCAGTGCACTGAACATGCCTTGCTTCAGCTATCATGCAGAGCTGTCTACATGGTGCCATTGTGGTGTCTGGGAGCAGAGGGAGGTGGGTTGGTCCCTGAGTGTTGGGTCCCCTGTGGAAAAGGTGTCTGCTGGGGGCCCTCAGCCTGCGTTACCGTTCCTCTGCCACTTTCCCATTGACCTCCTGCTCATCTTTATCTCTCCGCTTCTGTCTCCTGAAGAAGCCAAGCTGGGTGGGAGAGCAGTCAAACACAGAGAGAAATTACACATGATGAAATGTTGCAGCTTCAGAGGCCAACATGGCACTATTCAATCTTTATTTATTTATTCATTCCTTCATATCCTTCAAATCTACTCTTAAGCTAAAATGAACAAGACTAATAGCTGCTCTGTGAGGCTGTATGTATACTGAATACATCCTGTTTGGACAATAGATCTATGGACCAAATTTCTTTAACGCCTAAACAAATAGTCAGAAAATACCTACTGAATATTTGCTGCTGTTGGTCTTCTGTAAAAATTCATTTAATGTCTTTGTGCTTCAGACTGTTGACTGATCAAAATGATTTCTGAAGATGTCACAATGGACTCTGGGAAAATGTTCCACTATTTTCAGATGTTTTAGACTTTTTCATTCATGATATGATTAAGTGAATAATCAAAACAATAATGAAAATAATAGTTACTTGCAGCCCTGCATTGCATGGAGGTCCATCTAATGGCTGCTGAAACATGTCCAGCTCATGGCGGCACCAGAGGAAACAGCAACAATTTATCAGGCAGTTTATGACTGAGGTGAAACTATTACTTGTGTATGTTTTCTCTCTACTTCCCCCTTTTTACATTCTATTCATTTGGCAGATACTTTAGTTTAACGTGACTTACGCTTATCCTCAAGGGCACTTTGACAGGTGGACACGACGGAGGATCAAATCACCAGTGTTGTGGTTAAAGGCTGACCTGCTCTATTGCCTGAGCTACAGCCAACAAACTGACTATACTTTGATTATTTTACTCCTCCTAGCCAATGTTCCAGTAGATATTCTGACATGTCAAAGCAGGAAAAGCACAGGCTGTGATTTTAAAATATATATATTTACACAGTGTGATAGGAGGCCGACAGCTTTATTGTGAACCTGAGCAGTTCTATCCCAGAGCTTGGCCCCAAAGAAAAGCATGACAACTGATGATCGCTTAGAGTTACTGTGTTTCTGTGAACGGCTCCTGTGTTGACCATGAATGTGAGGCTGCTTATATTCTTCACATCATTTTTTAGACTTAGCTGTTTAAAGCCCTATGATAGACTGCCATCCTGTCCGGGGTGTACCCCTCCTCCCACCCAGAGTCAGCTGGGATAGGCTAGCTAATGGATGGATGGATGGATGTTTGCATTGCTTCATCCTCTACCAGGAGGTGGCAGTCTCACCCTACACTGAAGTACTGCTATGGCTATATAGTGGTACTGTACTATGCAGTAGGTGCAACCTTATGGGTCTTGGCCATTTTTTCTTATTACAGCTGCCTCTGATCTGTTACTACATATACATCTGTAAAAAGCTAATTATTATGACGACACAAGGTAACGTGTTTGGTAAGAGAACAAAACTGCTACTGGTGGCTGTAGCTAAACCCAGCATGAATAATACCGGTGCACGACACTGTGACTTACCTTCCACAGAGCGAGACTGAGCAGGGCCAACAACAAGAGCCCTCCCAACATACTCCCAATGATAATCCACGTAGGGATTCTGTAATCGCCCCCCTTCCTGATCTCCAGTGTTATCTGTCAGACAAGATGAGATGACACAAACAGATCTCAGTGTCTGCTATAGGGTTATAAACAGATTTGTATATCTTGTACAAACATGCTGCACATATAAATTGAGTGTATTAATGTAAATGTATGATGGTCAGTAATTATTATAAACATCAAACATCTATCCACAGATGATGTTGGATTATATATAACCAGCAGATGGACACACACAGGCTGAGTATGATATTTACAAAGAAAACTTACTGTAAATATAAGAAACATATATAGAATAAACCCATGACTGTTTTTAAGAAATTCTGAAACAGGATTGAAAACCTTTATGTAGATTATTCTCTCTCTCTTAACATGAATCTAAGCACTGATCACAGTCAGGTTTACCAGAAAAACATTCCCACTTCATTTACAACTCCTGTAAGCTTAAAGAAATCAGTATACAGTATATCTGCTCATTAAAGCATATAAAAAATTTCAGTATGACTGTTTGCATTGGCCATTAGATGGCAGCAAAGACTAGTGCTTGGATTCAGACTCTAACACGTTGTGCTGCTGGTCCTTTCGGTCCCTGAGCACCACATAGCACGTGTGCTCCAATACCAACCTTTCCTGTCTGATTCTACACTGCCTCAGTTATGCAATACCATGCTATACTGTAGCTGAACCCACTGATATTTTCTATAAAGAGGTGGCAAAATACATTACTGTTTAGTGTTACATAAAGTGGACCATTTCATATACAGTACAATACTATTTTAACTTTTTCACTTCATTCAGATACATTTTAAAGACTGATCTCCTTAAGCACAAAATAATTTATTCACATATGGCTAGGATAAAATTTATGATTGGTTGTATGAATTCAGTTTTCAGGGAGGTCAACCTCGGTACGGTTTACACTATAGGTTATTGACTCACATGCCTCACAGGCCTCTCTTCATGTAAAAACATAGGGCTGGAGGAGGGGAGCTCCACTGAAGCACTGGTTACCAGTTCCAGTATTTTAAACTTCAGCTGGAGAGGAAATCAAAAAGTGCACAAACACATAACACAGCTGTAGCTATAAAGCTATCATCACCAGAGTCTAAGCAAAAACACAGCAAAATCAATACAGAGGTTATACTGTATGCATGGGTATGTTATTATAAAGCTGGGGGATCATCCAAGTTTATGTACAGTATACATGATTTAAGTTTTAAACTCACTGTGTGTAAGGTGTCTAGTTGTAGTGCTCCTGTGATTCTAACTGTGATTTCTCTGTAGGAGGCCACATTGACAGTGCACTGGACTGGCAGAGTTAGGGTGTTGGATCGGTTCTGTGTGAAGAAGCCAGACAACAGCCTTAAGGAAAAAGGTTGGAAATAAAAATCTTACTTGAGAATCAGTTTGGTTGGTTTGTACTTTACCAGGCGGGAGAAGCGTGTAAGGTCCTCAGGCGATGCCCTGCTCTGTGCCACATGCTGTACTGGTAAACAGTGTGAACCATCTCTCTGAGGCGTGACACAAGAGTGAAGTGTAAGAGCAGTGTCACAATCTTATATATGTAAGAAAAAACACTTCAAAGTGAAGTTGAAAGGTAGACCACTTTCTCCAAAGTTTTAAAAAAAGTCTACCAGCAACTCTAAAGCTATCTTTACTAATAAACATATTTCCTAAACTCCTGATCCAAAATCATGATGGTATGTTGTTGAGATCAAACAATACTTTATAGGGTGGAAAAAAGGAACAATAAAGAGAAAATACAGAAAAGAGGAAATACATTTTAATATTTATATTTATAAACAGTGCTAACACTACAAACATTATAATAAAGCAAGCTTATGGGACTTCTGTTCAATGACATCTGTGGCTGCAGGTGACATTTGTTAGATCATGGTACAGTTGCTGATAAAACAATTTACCAATAGCACAAGCAGAGAGGACCAAACTTAACTAGGCACTGCAGAACTGTCAACAATTCTTCCACATGTTGAAACCTTGTGAACACTTACCTTACCTCCTACAGTGGTAACCAAGTGTCACTTCCAAGGCCACCAAGTATACGTAACATTAAAAAAAGCTCCAGTTACAATAACACATCCTGTGGAAGCTAACATTAGCAGCTCTGCTGGATTTCAAACATAGCCAATTTACATACAAACATAATGTATAAATCCAACCTCTGTATTGCTTGTCCAGGGTCATACATACAAGGACTAGCTATACACTGAAATACAAGAGCAAAGCAGAATCTTTATTATATAGCAAGTGTGCTACATTAGCTACAGCCAGCGACTGCTATCATATCAAGAATGGTTGTAGCTACCTGTACAAAGCTCCTGAGTGCATCCTAAATTAAACAGAAGAATGTGCTATAATTCTTTCAAAGGTTACACATTTTCACCTTAAATCATCACAGAGTTTGAGGCTCCACCCTCACCTGGTCAATATGGAAGTCAGATATCTGCAGGAGTTGGTTTCCATTTTTTGTCATTTCTGGGATTTCAATGTTCAGCTGCAGATCTTTTACTGGAAAGTAACCAAGGTTCTGGATCTGAGAGACAACAAGGGGTAAACAATGTAAATTATTTTTCCTGTACAGGTTAATTCAAGTCATGATGATGGGGCTCCTGGTTCTCACCTGGAAAGTGAAGTTGAAAGGTAGACCACTAACTCCAGGCTCTTCCAGCGACAACTCAGATTTGATCTCATACTGAGTTGCTTTTGAATCCCTTTTGGAGTAAAGAATAAACAGGAGCAAGTAATATGTAAAGTTAAATACATGATCACAAAGCCACCATTCCACCTACAGTGTCTACAACCTATTTTTCCAACCATGATATTATTCAATATTTTTCAGATACCAAATTATTTTGTTCCAGTTACTTGCACTTCCAAGTTCACTGCTTCAAAAATCACCTCAAGAGCCTCAGGAGCTTGCACTGTATCATCAGAAATCATGAGAAACTGACAAACCTAGTGAAGAGAAGGTCTGCTTCATACTTCAGTGAGTAATAGATATCATTGAAATTATCAGCTGTGCTCCTTTCCTCGCCATCACTGTTGAGAGAAGGAGGACAAAAAAATTCAAACAACGTGAATAATGATGTTACAGCTGCAGGTAAAATATTTATCATTGTAGCTCAATTGCAGTTGTAGCTTGCTACTTGGTGTGTATGGTTGTGATTTTTTTGGATGCCTTGGCTGATTGTTAGCATCAGTAAGGACACAAAGGACAGTTAAGCGCCGACCCATGTGAAAAGAAAATGCATTTAGGTGTCGATAATTTTAAAGCACACTTAAGAGTTGAAATTTATGTTCACACCTGCTGGCCTCCAGGATAACCCTGACATGTTCGAGGAAGACGGTACGGCTGAACTCAAACTCCAGACGAAACGTCACCTACACAAGGGAGAAGTTTAGAAAAATAAATCAAACATTTGCAGCATAAAAATAAACATTTGATCATTTTTGATTTAAATCAGTGTCCCATAAATATTTGAGCATAAATATCACCATGAGATTTTTATAACAAAACCACTAAAAAACACAGGGCAGAAGCTTCTTCTGACTCCATCCATTACTATATACACCCTCCCCAGCAGTATGGTATAGTAACATCCGACTGTACAGGTAGGACACAGACTTTGAACCCAGCACAGTTGGTGCTGCCTAAGGAGTGCCTTAGCTGAGGACAGTGCCGTAAATACAAGACTTGTGAGAATCAGATTCAGAGCAAAGTATAAGCTGACAGGCACTGAAAGGCAGAAATGAGAAGAAAGAAGACAGACAGAAACAGAGGAGATGACAGCAGTGCAAGAAAATGGAAAATGATGGAGGAATCTTAAACGAAAACAGAAGGAAACCCCAAGTCTGGAGAGGAGACGAGGAGCAATGAGTTGACTGGTAGCAGAAAGCAGACTGAGCAGAGCATGGTGCATGGAGTGTCGTTGTTTACAGTCCGCCATGCTGTAATGAAATCCTGACGGATTGCATCTGGCCAGAGAGGAATAAATAACACAGTTTACTGTGGCTTCCCTCTTCCATTGAAACTGACTCATCCTTGACAAACTACATGTACAGTACAGTATGTACATGTGAATGTGATGATTTATTTTCATTTCATCTGATCTCTTTTGTGGAAAACTGCCTCTCTGGTCTTTGTCCTAGAAACGACTCATCCATCCAGTAACAGATGAGAAACAAACATCACTTCCAGTCTGTTTTCAATATGACTGGGTGATGCTCATTTTGAAGACACATATATATACACACACACACACACACACAGTTGTTTCCATAACTTCAGAGGACATTACACTGACTTAATTTCATGGAGATTCACACCAGTTGTCTAAGCCTTACCATAACCCTATACCAAGTCATCACCATAAAATATAATGATATTTTTGGGAATTGCTTTTTGTCCCCATAAGGACGTCAAGTCCTCACAACTTGACTATAAACAGGTTTATGTCCCCACAGCATCAGTAACACCAGCCCCGACACACACAGGAATATGAGGACGCATGTACGTCAAGTGGTGTGTGTTTGGAAGACACGACTGTCTATGGCTGGAGGATGTTTGTGCGCAGCATAGTTAAACATGGAAATTCAGGCAGCACACAAAGCTCCTGTTCCTCCTTCTGGCTGACGTAATGTGCCCACATCCCTGAGCCATGTTTACTGCCAATCACCAAACAATTAATCATAATAAGTAATGTTCTGTGTGTCTGCATACACTCAAGAGGAACAAAAACACAATTTTAAAAAGCCAGAGTTTCCTGTTTCTTATTTCTTTCAGCTAAACAGTGGTTTAGGCAGTGTCAAAAATGCTTTGCATAGAAATATGGTAAATTTTTAGTAGCATAAGAGATGACAATTATTTGTGATAATGATGTGGTTAGGACATTTCATGAAATGAAGTAATCTGCTTTGGTTCATTCCTACAGCATTTGTCAACAGACTTTGTGTCAGTATAGACAGTAAGAAAGACCAGATATCAATGGAAAAGACTGTGTATGTGTAATCTGTGTTGTTTAATACCTTTTAATTGTACAGTGTGATGTACGACCAGCGTCAACCCTATCAAAATTTAATTCAAACATCAATCTCTTGAAAATAAAACTTGATGCCTTTGCTCTAAAACACACTGGAAAGCACAGAGTCTCATAAATATTGCTGACATTATAAGCCTGTGGAAAAGCCTGGAAACAGCAGAAGTGAATGTGGAAATCGGTAACAGATGAGAAACAAACATCAGTGTCACCTGGTGCACCAGGGCGGTGGGGACAGAAAATGGCTAATGAACAGTGTTTGTTTGTTCTATGTACTGTACCCCGTTGTTAAGATGGTCCTTGCTGATATAAGTTGATTGACAAATTTTTGTGTCTGTCACTTTCAGGTGAATGTGGAAGTGGTGGCAACAGGACTCGTATACAGTGCTACAGGAAATATTCAGACCCCTTCACTTTTTTTCACTATTTACAAGATTTTTTTTTAAATTTAGAGTCACTGATAGAACAAGATGTGAAAGTACAACAATAAGATACCCCTCCCCCTCCCTCTAGGCAGAGGGAGGGTAGGTGAGTGCTGGTTTTACTGGAATTTGCATTTAGCTGCTAATATAAATTTAAAGTTATGAGGATACTCTTGAGTGGAGTAGACTTAAGGAGTTAATAGGAGAATAAATTCATCAGCATCAAGGGAAGACAAGTAAGAAAGAAGTGGACCCAGATAAAGTGGAATCTCTCCACATTATTTTGCGTATCTTAACTAGTGTATCTAATCTTTTCAAGATGCAGGCAGCTCACTGGATCTTTTATCAAGTGAATATAAGAAGGTGACTGTGTAGATTTCCAAACTGCTTTGCAATTAAGATTGAAATGCAGGGAGATCTTTCTGGAAGTGATGTTTTTAGATAGGAAGGCTAGGGGGGACAGTAACCAGGGAGGGATCAATAGTTATGTCCAAAACCTTAGAAATGGAAGCACAGATTGACTTCCAAAAGGTAAGAAATGCAGGGCAGGACCAAAACATGTGTATGCATGGTTGCATCTATCACATAAAGGGTCAATGTCAGGTTTGAATTTAGATAACCTGATTTTTGTCCAATATAAGTTGAATTAAACCGTGGCGAGTGGAAATGAATGGATGAGTGGATTCTATCCAACGTCATAAAGATATAAGACTGTAACGCACACCAGGGATGTCTAGATATGAAATCTTCATTAATTTACACACATGGATTCTATCCAATACTGCATCCCATTCATCATCCTGAAACTCATAATTCAGATCAACCTCCCACTGTCATCTTATTGATGGATCTTGGAACTGTGTAGAGTTTACGATAAGGCCATGGGAAATAACTCCTTTGGTGTGAGGGCTGGTCTCCACTATCTTATGTGCTAGAGTTTTAGGAGGAAGAGGTGAAAAGTCTGAGATTTTTCTTCACACAGTCACATATATACAGTCATATATATCTATATATAAGTATCTAAAAAAGTGAGCTCTGGGTAGGTTAAAAATATCTGATATAAAGCTTTTAAACAAATATTACTGTAGCGCTATTTTACATGCTGCAGCTAAAGCTGTAGTATAGAGACGTCTGTGCTGTCTTGTTTAAATCATCTTTGTTGAAACTGTCACTGGACTAACTCCACCCAGGCTTGATGCTTATGTTCAGGGTAGTACAAATGGATTTGCACCGCTGTTGGAGGTCCCTGGATCTCCGTTCCCTAAGCTGGGTAAACTCTCATCCACACAGAACAGGATAAGGACTGAGAATAATTCTGAAAGAAAAATGTTACAGGGAAACTGGGTATCAAACTCTGATTGTGGGTGACTGTGCTATTAAGAATTTAAATGGCGTAAGGAACAAAAAATACCAAGGAAATGGTCTCTGACATGATGGAAAGAATCCCAAACATCCTGGCTGCACCCCCAACTGTAAAAAACATCACAGTACATACAGAGGTCACAACAACTATCAGAAGTTCTGAAGCAAGTTTTTACTGATCTGCTGAACACGCTCAGCTGCTTGAAAACAGAGGTGCTTATCAGTGGCCCTCTACCAACAGTCAGCAGAGGAGTTGATAGATTCAGCACATTGCTGGCACTGAACACAGGGCTCTCAGCTGTATGTGACCTACATGCAGTGCACTTCACTGACAATTTCAACCATTTACAAGTCAGGAGTAAACCCATTTCTATTCAACTTATTTTAGATCCTGTCATTCCTTTGTTTCCTCTGCCAAGGACAAGAGAAACCAAAACACCATGAAGACACAGCACAACAAGAAACACTGAAGAAGAGCCATGACAGGGCCTGCCTCAGGACAGTTTAAACCATGAGGAAGATCAGTTTTGAGAGATAGAGAATCTCCACTTAACATGCCAACTACCAAAAGTGTGGCCTCAACACCTCAGTCACAACGTTGTCCACCGCCTGCACCTCCATGATGGCTTCAGATTCATCCTCTGCCACAGACGAGTAAGATAATCCAGGTTGGAGACTGACAGACATCAACCTTAAGCAACGGCAATTCATTGTTGGTTTTAGCCTTTGAATTTTCTATTAATATAGAAAATGATTGGCCTTATCCTTTAAAAACCTAAGTTCATCCACCCTGTCAACCAGATTCTTCAAAAAGGTTTTCAATTGCGTGAAAATGGATGTCTTGAAAACAATCAGTTTTAGTGGCCATTTTTCCAAAATCATAGAAAATGGCAGCTGTTAAGGCCTTTTAAAAGAAACACAACATGGATCTTTCCATATTAAATCACTGCTGGCCAATCTCTACTCCTTCCTTTACGGGAAAAAATACTGAAAAAGTAGTTTTGATTTAAGTGAAAAACCTTTTTAAATGTAAATGGACTTTTGGACAGATTTCAGTCAGACTTTTGACATTTCTCTGACAGGATAATGTAATTTCTTTGAATTCTTGATGGTTGGAAAGATCAACTTTTACATCTTTTTTCTACTCGGTCAAATAAACACAGAAATTATGATTCTCAACTAAAACATATGGCTTTTTTGGACATATGTACTGTATATTGCTTGTGTTTTCACACAAAACCAGCAGCAAAACTTGCACCCTTTAACACATTCTGTTAAAATGCCACAGTCACAACTCTACAGTGAAGGTAATATTTTAGACATGTTAAAATATTTGAGTATTTTTTTATATAATGACATATTTTGTTTGTTCTCAGAGTGTTGTCATTTCACCTGTGTTTTGGCCCTCATGAACGGAGCACTGACATTGCAGATCTTCTCATTCCTCAGTCTATCCTCAATGTAACACTCAATTTTGATGTCAGAATTGTCCTGGATCAAAAACAATGACAGTTAATTTTTTTATGACTTTACTAACAGCTTCAGTGCAGCATTTATCTCACAACATCTGCTGTTAAATCAGAGGTGCTTCAAAATATTTGTATTTTACAAATTTTAGACTATTTTGCAGTTTGAGAATTTGTACTCACAAACCCCATGAACAGTCTAGAGTGATGATGATGTACCTTGACTATGAGGCTAGAGAAGCGTAGATTGGGTGTGTAGGTGATATTGAGGCGAGCATTGTAGGCATTCTCTCCTTTGTTTTCGAGGCGGACGTCCACCACCATCCTCCTCCTGTTTCCCTCTAGCACCCGAAGTGATCCCTCTGTCCCTCGTTCACCGTGATGGCGGCAAAAAGCGCCACGAGACTGTACAGGCTGCACACAAAACTGACTGGGATGGAAGGCGAGAGAGTAGAGTGAAATCATAAACAGAAGAGCACCTGAGGAGTGACTCAGGTGTGTAAATACAGCATGTGTGAATATTCCTTGTGAGCATGCTATGTGTGTACCTACTTTGGAGTCATCAGGTCAGTCATACTCTGCAGTGTAAGGTCTGGTATGCAGCGGTCATCCTCGTCACAACCGTTCCAGAAGGGCAGCTAGCGCAAGAGACATGTTTTTGTAAGTCAAAGAAACTACTAATCCTTTCCTCTCAGTTTGTACTTTGACAGAATCAGGTAATTTATGGTAGTGCATTTTAATAACTTGACAGCAAAGACAGGATAAGCTGTCAAATCGTCTCTCACCTCGGCCCTCACAACAGTAGGCCAGCTTTCATCTAGGACTACTCCGTCATCTGGAACTTGTAGCCCCACTTGCACAGCAAACACTATGGGCCTTGCATAATCACTGGTCTCCTAATATACAACAAAACATTAAGTTCAAGGAATTACTCTGTCATGGCACTTTATCTATAGATTTCAAATATTTTTTGAAACTTTTAATTTTACACAAACGTACATGATGCAGAATGCCCACAAAAAACATGATTACAATCTCATTTTAATGTACAGTACTCAGACATTTTCAGACTGAAGTAGCTGACTAAAGCTTTTTTATTCATGTTAAAAGTAGACTATTTAACAAAAGTACAAATATTCAGTGATTCTGCCATAATTTTATTCTTGTCAAAGCAGAAAAGCATCAGAAACATCACTGTTGTTACGTATGAGTGTGGTGTGGACCCCAGTTGCAGACACAGACCAGGAGGAGTAGGAGCCCAAAGAAAGTGGTTTATTGCACAAAACACAGGCAAGGCTGGGTGGCAGGAGGACGAGGACCCAGGGGCGAGACCAGACAAGAACCAAGCGGGATGAGGAGACCAGACAGGAACCAAGAGGGATGAGGAGACCAGACAGGAACCAAGAGGGATGAGGAGACCAGACAGGAACCAAGAGGGATGAGGAGACCAGGCAGGAACCAAGAGGGATGAGCAGACCAGGCAGGAACCAAGAGGGATGAGCAGACCAGGCAGGAACCAAGAGGGATGAGCAGACCAGGCAGGAACCAAGAGGGATGAGCAGACCAGGCAGGAACCAAGAGGGATGAGCAGCAGGGCAAACACAGGACCCAGGAGACGAGCAGGAGACCAGACAGAAGACGACACCAGGAAGGACCAGGGTGGCTGGGTCACTCAGCACTGGCAGACTGAGTAGCACTGACAAACCGAGTAGCACTGACAGACCGAATTGCATAAACGTAGGGTAACCTAGGGTATTGTATGCGTATCACTTGTGTATGAACCAGCAAAAGCGCAGCGGCAGACAGGGTGGTATATATATTTGACGGGACCGGGAAACAATGAACGGCAGGTGGGAGGAATGATGACTGATTGCAGGGAGAACCGCAAAGGAACAGGACCGGGAGATAACAGGCAACAGGTGACAGACATGGCGACTAATTGCGGTGACGGAGGAGCGGGGGAGAGAACAAGTAAACAAACAAAGCCAGGAAGCCGATCGACGTGACACCGTAACAATTGTAGCCTTCAAATGATTCTCAAAGTTTCCATAAAACCCCAGGCGCACTACATGTCTTTCAGCCATCTCCCCTAATCAGTGAAACTTTGAAATACACTATTCCTGGGATTCATTAGTAAACAGTAAAAAATAAAATTAAAACAAAGCTCTCACTGCAGGTTGTCCTTTGAAAGCCTCATTGTGGGTCTCACCATGACGTGGAAGTAGATGTGTTCACAGGTCTCTTCTCCAGGAAGGAGGGTCAGGTTTTGAGGCTTCATCTTGTTTGGATTGTCCAATATCGCCCGAGGACTGAAACGCCTCTCCACAATGGAGACATTATACTTGATCCCTAGTGAGTCATAGGAAGAGTTAAGAAACTGAAACTGTACAAGATCCTTCTAAGATACAGGGGCTTCTGTTTTTACTTAGGTTAATGCAGACTAACTGACACACAGCAGCAATAGGCTATGATAAATGGATTCATTGTAGCAGTGCAATGAAGTAATAGCACCACTCTGAATATATGACAAATGTGTGACTAACATATAAGAATCCAAATCCTCTGGCTTCGTTCCTGAGTCATTTCCACACCACACTGTATTAGAAGCTTTCCATTTATTGCGCCCTGTTTTCAAGGCATGAGGAAAAAATCCACTAAGACTTATGCATATATTGTGTTTAAGTCAAATGGAGATTTAGAGAGATGGAAATATCTTAATGGGCAAAACGATCTGGGCAGATAATGATACTACATTAGAAGCATTTCTCCACTTTTCACCACATCACAATTATCAGCTATTATAAAAAAAAATTCTCCCTTTTTTGATGAGAGAATCAGAGTTTCAAAACACTTATGTAGTCAAGTTCTAACTTGGACTTTAAGATCTACTGCATGAGGCTACACAGCAGCATTTCTCACTGTAATATGTCAAATCCCTACAAAGGACGTCTAAAAGGTAGTTGGTTATGTCTTTTGGTTGGTTGTGTGAAAGCGTTTTCTTGCAAGAGACCATGGTTGAACTCATGGTTCTTCCTCTACTCTGTTCTGGCACCTCTGATAGATTTGACTAAGATGTTGGAGGGTCAAGAGGTTAACTCAAAACATGCTCCTCCCCACCTCTGCTTCCTTTCCTCAACTCACTGTGACACTGGGCCCTGCTGTGATATCTCTTAAAACAGATTAGGAGCATAGCAACCCTCCATTTAAAGAGAATGTGAAGTTGATGTCATGCTGTGTTGAAATTTGGGTAGATGTGCAATGTCATCATCATGCTTATTATCTATCATGGATATATATACACTATATACATCTATAAGTTCATTTTTAAAAATTAAAAGTCACCCCATAGAACCACATTCGAGCCATCACAGTCGTTATAGGAAGCTGCATGCTGAAAACTCAACTGAAGCCCGGACAGGCAAGATATACATTCAGAGGACTGAATCCCTTTGCTCACTTGAAGCCGGCCATGCTTCATTCTGTCATGCACCTACAGCAAGTCCAAACAACAGCTGAACTTTATTTCAATTACATATCCAGAATATACATTTCTCAGCTCAAACATATTAGTAAAAATAGTCATCCCTGGATACTGTTTCACAGAATCCAATGATCTTTGTGTCAAAGAAAACATTTTTTTCCTTAGGACTCTTTCTTTTAAATATATTTGATCTACTGTGTATATATATATATATATATAACAAGCCCTGCGCTACTAATAAATGAAAGAGGGTCTTATTTATCTTGGCAGAATGGCAAAAAGCAGGCAAAGACAAAGGGAGGAAAATGGGAACTTTACTGGGATGCTTCCACAGCAGTAGATTATTTTTGCTGGCTTACCAATTTCCTGAGTGGGAGGAATGGCCGTCCTGCCAGTGATGTTGAAACATGCAATGGCTGACATACAGGTCACATCTTTACCACCCCTTTGGCAGTCCTTAACAAAGATGTTGATCTTACTGGGCTCAAACCTGACAGTGGTGTATATCCGGACAACACACTGTGACCTGTGAGGACGTAAAGGTGTTGCAGTTTATGACAAATGAGGCTCAAGAACATTTTTGAAAGTAGGCATACAAAAATCTTGCCAATATGTTTTGCTTTAAAATAAGAGGGAGTGTCTTTATAATAACTGATTAAATTGATATAATTGGTATAATTGATATACCTCTCCTTGAACCGCCACCTTATTCTGGTGGAAGGGTTTGAGTACCCGAATGATCCTAGGTGCTATGTTGTCGGGGGCTATATGCCCCTGGTAGGGTCTCCCAAGGCAAACAGGTACTAGATGACAGGTCAGACTAAGAGCGGTTCAAGAACCCCTTATGAAAAAATTAAGATCAAGGACCGTGACGTCACCCGGTATGGCACAACCAGGGCCCCACCCTGGAGCCAGGCCCGGGGTTAGGGCTCGAATGCGAGTGCCTGGTGGCCGGGCCTCTTCCCACGGGGCCCGGCCGGGCTTAGCCTGAATAAGCTATGTGGGGACGTCCTTCTGTGGGCCCACCACCTACAGGAGGATTCGTAATGGGCTGGTGCACAGTGGACCGAGGAGCGGTCGAAGGCAAGGCCCCCGACCACCCAATCTCTGGACATGGAGACCAGCCCTGGGGACATGGAATGTCACCTCGCTGGTGGGGAAGGAGCCGAAGCTTGTGTGGGAGGCTGAGAGGTAAATGGTAAAATGGTCTTATACTTGTATAGGTACCAACTAGAGATAGTCGGGCTCACCTCCACACACAGCTCGGGTTCTGGAACCATAACCATCAAGAGAGGCTGGACTCTCCACTCTGGAGTTGCCCACAGTGAGAGGTGGCGGGCTGGCTGGTGTGGGCTTGCTTATAGCCCCCCAGCTTAGCTGCCATGTGTTGGAGTTTACCCCAGTGAACGAGAGGGTCGTTTCCCTGTGCTCTTGGGTTGGGGATAGGTCTCTCACTGTCGTTTGTGCCTATGGGCTGAACGGCAGTAACCGGCCTTCTTGGAGTCTCTGGGAAGGGTGCTGGAAAGCACTCCGACTGGAGACTCCTTCGTTCTACTGGGGGACTTCAACACTCACATGGGTGATGACAGTGACACCTGGAGGGGCGTGATTGGGAGGAATGGCCAGGAGGAACAATGTGGTTTTCATCCTAGCTGCAGAACACTAGACCAGCTCTATGCCCTCTTCAGGGCGGTGGAGGATTCATGGGAGTTTGCCCAACCAGTCCACATGTGTTTCGTGGATTTGGAGAAGGCATTCGACCGTGCCCCTCGTGGTGCCCTGAGGGGGGTGCTCCGGGAGTATGGGGTCTGGGGCCCTCTAGTGAGGGCCATCCGGTCCCTGTACGGCCGGAGCAAGAGCTTGATTTGCATTGCCGGCAGTAAGTCAGACTTATTTCCGGTGCATGTTGGACTCCGGCAGGGCTGCCCTTTGTCACCGGTTCTGTTCATTATTTTTATGGACAGAATTTCTAGGCGCAGCCAAGGGCCGGAGGGAGTCCAGTTTGGGAACCACAGGATCTCATCTCTGCTTTTTGCAGATGACATTGTCCTGTTGGCTCCATCAAACCAGGACCTTCAGCGTGCACTGGGATGGTTTGCAGCCAAGTGTGAAGCAGCTGGGATGAGAATCAGCACCTCCAAGTTGAAGGCCATGGTTCTCACTCAGAAAAGGGTAAAATAAATTGATATATAAAGTTGAGCCTGCAAATAACTGTCACTGATAATTCTGACACCATTATTATTTATTACTGGGATAAGTACTCACCAAAGGAGAACAGCAGCACCAAAGGAACCCACTGCCAGGTCCACTAAACCATCATCATTCATGTCCATTGTGCCATGAATACTGCGGCCAAAGTATTGCAGGCCAGGAGCTAAATCTGCTGCTGCTATCCTCTGATGAACAGAGAAAGAAATCTGAGTACACAAGGATCATAATAACAACAACCACAGTTGACAACATTATGACAATAATTTTTGGGAAAAACATTTTGTATTTAAAACCATGACTGTAAATAGGTCCTGTACATTTAAGAGAATGTGCTCAAAGGAAAAAAAGTTTCCTTAATCACACCAATAGTATTTCTTAAAATATACTGTTATTATTAGTGGTACTGCAAGCTCATGTCACTCATAACTGCCAAAAAACAAAAAAAAAAGGTTTAGAAGTGCTACACACATTAACTCAAGTTAATCTTAAGTTAATAACATGCTTTGTACTTATTCTATTTTGTGTGGTTTTTGTATGTGTTATCCCCAGTCATTGCAGGCTAAGGTTAGGATAAGTCTACAGGAAATGAATGTAAGTCAGTGTACAGTCCCCACAGCGATGTGTGTATGAGATTATAATAGGTAGTATAAAGACTGTCTTTTAACATAAGCTTTTGCACACCTCCTACCTGTTTGTATTTGCGTAGTATTCTGTTGTGCTGGCTAAAGAAAATATAAATAGCTCCTTTATGTTCATCTTCCAGTGGAGCCCCCACAACCAAGTCATTGAAGCCGTCACCATTCAGATCAGGGACTGGAGCCAGTGATGAGCCAAAGCGAGCATTCTGGCCTCCGTTATGGATTTCCAGTGCCCCTTCAGGGATGAAACGATTCTGAGGAATGAAGGAAAAAATAATGACACTAAAGCCTGTGTTTCATACATACATTACTAGTCAAACATTTGGACACACTTTCCCATTGAAAATGTGTCCAGATGTTTGACTGATAGTATATTTTAATGTGTGTTGTAAAGAGGACTTAAAGGCACTTTTGACAGAGCTGGGCTGAGTAAAGTAACAAGTAATGTAACATATTACTTTTCTGCTGAGCAATTACCAAGTCATTTAATGGCTTTTTCATTGAGTAATTTGTGATAAGTACAGTAATGCAGTTTTCAAGTAAATGACCAAACACTGATTGATATTTTATGTATTGACCAATGTTTTGGAAGAATTGTCTTTGCCAAAACTCAACCAAACCATAACAAACAAACAAACAATAGCTTTAACTTCTCCAAACTCAGTACATCAATATTTACTATGAGGAAGTAACTCGCAACATCTTATGTTAAAAATACTGAATTAACCATTAAAGAGGTGTAATTTGTACAGGAAAAAGTAACAAGCACATTTTCTTTTTTGTTGTTTTTTGTTTGTTACTCCTTCCTGCTCTTCTTTCATCTAATCAAACAAGAGATCAAAGTCTGGATCAGTTCCACATCATCCTCTATTTCTGTCTACTTGAACTCAAGTATCCTAAACATATGGCAACATAAAAGTACAATATCTTACTTATGGGTTATAAAAAAACTTCAAAATATTGTAAAACTTTGGTATATTTATGTGAAGTTCTATTTTTAGCAAGTGTTAAGTCAGATGGAAAATATCTCTGTCCTTGAAAGCTACTACCCAACAGATTTTTTTTCCAAAGAAAAAGCATTAAAAAATGAAGCCAAATAGTCGAGTCCTTCAGTAGTCATGTACAGTATATCACTGCGCCATTTAACGTCCCAGTCCATAATATAAATTAGGGTCAGCAGACAAAACATGAGATCACTTGGGAGTTGCTTTAGGAAGGTTGCTCTTACTTCTCTGCTACCTGAGGTGTGTATGTCTGACAAAGAGGGAAACTATAGAGAAAAGGGGAATAGAGGAAATATATTGAGTGCATTTTAAATTAGAAACACATGGTTGGAGAGGGGGCCGTGAAGGTTCATAACCAGGTTGCAGTGGCTCTGGAGTAAGTTAAAACTGAAACTTCTATACATTATTTGCTCTTACTGCATTCCAGCAATGACACCCATACACAGTGGTGTAAAGTAACTAAGTACATTTACTCAACTACTGCACTTAAGCACAATTTTGAGGTATCTGTACTTTACTTGAGTATTTTCAGTTTCTTTTACTTCATACTTTGAATTCACTACATTTTAGAGGCAAATATTATACTTTTTTACTCCACTACATTTATTTTATAACTTTAGTTACTAGTTCCTTTTCATAACCAGATTAATACAAAAAAAAAAAAAAATACAGTATAAAACCTCTGATCTGTGGTGGAAAATTCACAACTATTCAGCAATAACCCAGTTTAAATGCATACAAGCTAGTTAAAACTAGCTCCCCCTTTTCCAATTGCAACAATAAATGTGATGGACACAGTAGTGCATCAGTAATTATAATCTAATAATATCATATAAAGGAATGTGAAAAGTGTTATTCTGCATAATGAGTATTTTTACTTTTAGTACTTGAAGTATGTTTCCATGCTAATACTTTTCTTCTTTTACTTAAGTAACATTTTGAATGCTGGACTTTTACTTGGAAAAGAGTATTTATACACTGTTGTATTGCTACTTTTACTAAGTAAAGGATCCACCACTGCCCAAACATTTCTGATAAAGCAAGCCATCCTCCTCATACACAGTGGGTACGGAAAGTATTCAGACCCCCTTAAATTTTTCACTCTTTGTTATATTGCAGCCATATGCTAAAATCATTTAAGCTCATTTTTTTCCTCATTAATGTACACACAGCACCCCATATTGACAGAAAACACAGAATGTTTGACATTTTTGCAGATTTATTAAAAAAGAAAAACTGAAATATCACATGGTCATAAGTATTCAGACCCTTTGCTCAGTATTTAGTAGAAGCACCCTTTTGAGCTAATACAGCCATGAGTACAACACCACTGTACGGCACCAACAGCAACACCTGAGTCAACAACATCATAATTATTAACTGCCCTGAACATGTGGTATTGCTGTACTGAAGACACCACCGCTTGCTTCTAAAGAGTGATTTCTTTCTGTTTGTGTTTTATTTTTGACTGTTAAGTTTGGCCTGCCATATGTGATGTGGTTTGGGCCACACCAGATAAATATCTCATCTATGCCTCGTCAATGAATTCAAAACAGCTGAAGACATTTATTATTCCAATGAGCAAGACAGACCTGGAACACCAGGAAATTTCCTTCTATAAAAGAAAGTTCTCGCCTCCAAATGGTTTGCTGGAAATGGGCTTTGAAGGGGCAGAATACCTTCCTGTTGAGTTCATTCTACACATCCAGCAAAGTCTATACCCTTTCATGGCAAAGTTTCCTCATTTGATCTTCTCATTTATGGACAAGGTCATGTGTGTCAGAGGTCTGCCTGCAGCATGTCAGTGTGACGGCTGTGGAGATGGAATGCAACAGAGTGTGTTACCTGACACGTCTGCTGTGGGGTGTCTGGAGTTTGAACAGGTGGTCTGTGTAGTGGGTGGCTTGGTGCAAAGTTGATTAATACCTGTATGTGGCCAGTCTCCGTATATTTGTTTAAGTTGTAGGGTTTAAACTCACCAGCTCTGTCACTCTGTAGATGTACACTTTTCCTTTTTCCAAGCCGCCACTGAAGAACATTGGTGCTGCCACCAAAAGGTTGTCGGTTATACCGTCTCCATCGATATCCACAGGTGCAATCTCACTACCATAATAGGAGCCAATCTGAAAGGAACATATATGCATGCCATTCAAAGATCTTTATCGTTATTCTGTTTTAAACCTCTTAAAGCAATTCATGGTGATTACATTGCTGCCTGGAAATGTGCATTCATTTCATTAATTTAAATCCCACAGCAAATGTCACCTTGTAGTATCCCTGCCAATAGCATTATTTGATGGCAACATGATGATGATGTCAGGGTGGTAATCTGCATGGGAAGGGATGTCAGAACTGCACTATAAATGGCTGATTAGTGGAGCCAATCCCAGCTGACACTGAGTGAGAATCGGGGTACACCCTGGGCACATCGCCAGTCTATCACAGGGTGCATGTAAAACACCAGTAATGTATTTAATTGATAATCACTGACTGATAAAGTAGAATCAATATTATATTCACTGTGTTGCCTTCAGTTTCAACAGCTAGTGCTGCCACAGCACAGCCCCTCACTGAGTCAACACAGCAAAAGGAAAAATGAGAGACGACATGGTTAGTGATTGTCATGGAGATATCCTTACATAGACATATATATACTGTATATATATCCTAAAATTCTTCCCCGCTGTTTGGGCTTAATGATTTGCTGAGGATCTTCAGTATCTTTTGAACTTAAGTACTGTAAGCAAATGCAGGCCTGTGCTGTGTCAGAGTCCCCATGCCTTTGTACTGTAGATGCTCAGACTGTGACAGCTTTACTGAGAAAGACTGGACCAGGAGTGGATGAAGCATCTGTTTGTTTTCAGATTAGAAACATCTGTGCATGAAAAGTTATTTTTTTAAGAACTGTGTGATAAAGAAGGTCCCACAACTTTGCAAAAAAAAAAAAAAAACATCTGCTGTTTTGAATGAGCTGTTGCTGACAAGATTCATTATAAACTGCTGGAAGATCACAGCCTGTGAAGAGCTACCTTATTAGTCCAGTGGTCACTAACACAGGAATCCTAAATATAAAATTATATAACATCAAATAACTTATAGCACGAGACAACAAATTAAATATAAACAGAGGTTAAACATCTTCAAAAAGTTAATTTGTCCTTGTGACAACTTGCACCATTAGTGCAGTGTTTTGTGTTTATGACATCTGGACTGCAGTAATGGAATAAATTATTTTATTGATCTTATAATCCTAAATAAAAACCCTTTTGGTCTTTTTCACTGAAAAATATGGGATGTCATGATCATTCTTCTGTTCATTTTGTCTAATTTTATATGTTCATTTTTATTTTTATGATTTGGAATAAAGCTTTTCAAAGTGAAATATACAGATTTTAATAACTAAATATCAAAAGCAGAAGTAGATGAGATCAGTCCTAAAATCTGGCTGAATTCCTACACTACCAGGGGTGATCCTGCTTTTTATGCACATTATTTAAGATCATAAGGAAGGTACAGTAAATTAAAGTGGATGGTGCAACACAGCTGGTGCTGTAAGATACAATAGCTTCTACCATCTACACTCTCCAGGTCTCTGTGCCTTCAAAAGTCTGTAGTGAGTGGATGTTGATCGATGATGCAAATTCATGTGCCAACGTGCATCAGAGTTAAACCTGCAAATCCACAGACTGCTGTGAAAAAGGTTTGCTGTGTACCTGGGCCTTAATTTATTGGTAACCACATATTGTGAGTTGATTTCACAGTACCTTTTAAAATACAAATGAGTTATATCCTAGCCAATTTAACGCCACTGTGTATAGAGTTAAAAAAAGATCAGACTTTGGAGGACTGCACTAATGTACGTCTGACCAACAGCTGATGAACATTTTACCCAGCTGGTTTTGAAATGGATGCTACAGTACCTGCTGGCCTTTGAGGGAGTGCAGGATAGTGAGGTTTCCTGAGTTCTTCAGAGTGAAGACAATGACTTTGCCTGTGTGGTTAAATCGTGGAGCTCCCGCTACGAGCAGACGACCATTTCTGGCTGACACCACAGACGTCACAGTATAACCTGGTTATGTAAAAACACATACATGAATTCTTCCTGGACTCAGAGACAACAACCCTTGATTGGTCTTACCCACCCATGGCAAAGTAGCCCATGTAGGATATAATTTCTGATGGAAGTATCTATTTTATCTTCATGTTTTTCTAATGGATTTGTATATTACAGTTGAAGTCAAAAGTTTACATACACCTTAGCCAAATACAATTATACTTAGTTTTTCACAGCTCCTGACGTTTAATCCTATAAACATTCCCTGTCTTATGTCAGTTAGGATCACTACTTTATTTTAACAATATGAAATATCAGTATAATAGTAGAGAGAGAGATTTATTTCAGCTTTTATTTCTCTCATCACATTCCCAGTGGGTCCGAAGTTCACATACATTCGTTAGTATTTGGTAGCTTTGCCTTTAAAGTGTTTAACTTGGGTCAAATGTTTTGGGACGCCTTCCACAGGCTTCTTCCAATAGTGTATGTTGCTGGAATTTCAGCCTATTCCTCCAGACAGAACTGATGGAAGTGAGTCAGGTTTGTAGGCCTCCTTGCTCATACATGCTTTGTTAGTTCTGCCCACAAATTTATCTATTGGACTGAGGTCAGGGCTTTGATGGCCGCTCCAATACCTTGACTTCTTTGTCCTTAAACCACTTTGCCACAACTTGGAAGTCATCTTGGGCTCATTGTTCATTTGGATAACTCATCAGGCCAGAAGACATTTCTCCAAAAAGTCAGATCTTTGTCCCCATGTGCAGCTTAAAAACCGTAGTATGGCGAACTCAGAGCAGTGGCTTCTTCCTTGCTGAACAGCCTTTCAGGTTGTGTTGATGTAGGACTCATTTTTCTGTGGATACAGATACTTTGGTACCTGTTTCCTCCAGTGTCTTCACGAGGTCATTTGCTGTTGTTCTGGGAATGATGTGTACTGTTCGGACCAAAGTACGTTCATCTCTAAGAAGCAAAACGCATCTCCTTCCTGAGCAGTGTGATGGCTGCATTGTCTCATGGCATTTATACTTGCATAGTAATGTTTGTACCATCAGGTGTTTGGAAATTGCTCCCAAGGATGAACCAGACTTGTGGAGGTTCACAATTTTTTTTTCAGAGGTCTTGACTAATTTATTTTTATTTTCCCATGATGTCAAAAAAAGAGTTAGTGAGCCTGAAGGTAGGACTTAAAATACATACACAGGTTCACTTCCTATTGACTCAAATGATGTCAATTAGCCAATCAGAAGCGTCTAAAGCTATGACATCATCTTCTGGAATTTTCCAAGCTGTTTAACGGAACAGTTAAAAGAGTGTATGTAAACTTCTAATCCACTGGAAATGTGATATAGTCAACTATAAGTTAAATAATCTATATGTAAACAACAGTTGGAAAAATAATGTGTCATGCATGAAGTACATGTCCTAATGGGCTTGCCAGAATGAGAGTTTGTTCATGATATCTGTGGAGTGGTTTGTCCTAACTTTAACTTTCTCCCTGCCTGTTCAGAACGATGCTTCTACTTTATGTTACTATTGACTAGAATGGTTTCCATTGTCAGCCTGAGGGATAAGCTCAGAGACAAAGCACTGATGAGAAAAGCAGAGGTCTGTGGTGTTGGAGTGAGATGGGGCTGGATATGAGGGGAAGCACTGGACATTATCAAGGTGGATTGCATCTAGGACAGATGGTGCTAAACCACAGGTCTTTTGCCAGGGTTTCCAGTCATCCCTCCATAAAAAAGGATATAAATGTAGATGCCCATCGAAGGCTCAGGAGCAGTACCATGCCCTGTGCACACACCTTTTCCTGCTGTCTACCTATAAATACTGCCATATTTCAGACCCAGGGTGCTTTTGCTTTTTGTCCTGTCCTCTTCTCTGTCTCTATTCCTACTTTTTCTGTCTTCTGCTCCTTCCTACAGTCTTCACACTTCCATGTGGGGGATCTGGCACGCACGAGAGCTGCACGGATCCCCTTGAAGTCTTCCCCAAACCTCAGACCAGTCACCAAGCACTGACCCACTGCATGGTCCAGCACCTAACCACATCCTCCTCAGTCCCTGCATATTACCATTACCTCCCCCATCCTTCATTACTTCTGACAGTGGTCCTACTGTAGCTAGTGAAACAGAAGCTTAAGGTTGGTGGCCATGGGTGAAAATGCCCCAGGGCTATCCAAACTTAATCTTCATTGATAATATAATGACATTGCACTATATATTTCTTTCCTCTTCTAAATATATTTATTTCAGCTTAACTCTGATTTTTCCAATCCTTTATAAGAATTTGCATCCTACTGTTGTTTAAGTTGTGACATACCCAAGTAGGCACCATGGTTTTTGAGGTCTTCAGGGAACTCCTCTGTGTAGGATGACTTGGGAGGAACCACCTTCCCCTGTCGTGTTTCCTTTAGCACTGCCCCATTCCAGTCATAAGCCCCAACAGCACCCACCAGAGTCCCATCCTGTAAGTGCAGAGTAATAGAGAATGATCCGATGGTACTGCCTGTGCTGCATAGACACACAGCATGGCCATTATTGTATATGATGATGATACACTCCTGGAACATAACACTCTTTGGCCACCATTTTGGAACACACTCTGTGTGTTTGGCTCCACATCATTTCTGTCAGTTTAATGATGGCATGCCTACATTTGTGGTGAAATGTAATCCTTGTAGCAGCAGTAAACATAAACTCTGAGGGAGCTTCTCACTACATTTTGGGAACTGAATTCTAGTATCCCTCTTTATCTCTTTAGCAGAAAGTATCACTTTCATGATAAGGTTTTTAGAAATCAGTGGTCATTCTTAAGGTGTATGAATGAACAAACTGATTTTCATCTAAATGTCCTGCCGTCTCATGCCTCATCCCTCAGACAATGCGAGTCTTTCAGCTCCATCACCCGGTTTCCTATCCTTCACAGTTTGCCACTAAAAGATCACAAAGTTTCTGATATAAAGGGCTCTGAAAAAATGTTATTTCTTTTTTTTAAAGCCCAGATTACACATCAATTTCAATATGGCAAGACATTATACCAAACAAACAAACAAATAAATAAATATGGTGATGCTTTATTTTACATGTCAGTTATTTTGTATACATTCTTGGAAAGTTTCCAGGAAATAACTATGTAGTTTAGTACTAATTACAAAAAAATAGAGACAAAGTTGTTGTTAAGGTTAGTCCCCCTCACCAGGAGGGTGAGGGAGAACTGAGGTTGGACTCAAGATTGCCAACCCAGGTGCTAGTTAAAAAAAGGAGGTTTAATGGTGGGAAATGCACAGTAACAACAAAACGTATTAGAGTCCATGTACAGAAACCAGCAAAGTAGGGCATATATGGTGGAGGAGACCAGGACGAACAGGTAAACACTAATGGCAGAAACCAGGAGAGTGGGAGGATCAGGACGGACAGGTGAATAGACAAACTGACTAGGAGGACTGGCGAACGAAAAAGGAAATCCACAGCACAGGAACTGTCAGCGTGGAAAACAAAATGATGTTTAACACAAAACAAATAACCAATGTACAAAATGAGATCCACAGCACAGGAACTGTCAGCGTGGAAAACAAGATGATGTATAATACATATCACAAAAATAGGTATGTTACAGGGTATGTGAGTTAGGTAAGGTAAGTAAAGTAAATAATGCTCCTGCGATGACGGAGCGTCTGCCAGAGGTAGAAATAAGGAGGAAGGTAATCAGCGGGATGCACCTCAGTTGTGTGCACCGACAAATGAGTCGCTAATTACCAAATGCAACACAGCTGAGATGCAGATCCCGCAGGTCAAGAGAACAGAGGAGAGAAAGGCGGAAGAGAGGCTGGTCACGCCGAGCTGACCTGACAGTAGTGAGACTTTTTTTTGTTAGTCTAGTCGGTTTTGTTGACTCTATGCAATATTGCCTTCTGGATGATTTTCCATGAAAGAAATTGCTCAATTTCAACCTCAATTAATATTTACTGATCATTTATCATTGGAAGTGTTATTCTTCATTTATGCTGAATTGTGTGGTAGGTTGCAGACACATTTGACACTTCTGTCCTCTGAATAAAAAGCCTCAAGTGTGTGTTAGCTTAGCATGTAGCAATAACTAGACATTTATCCAGTGATCACTTTTTAACTTTACCTATAATTAGTACCTAATTATATGGTTCCATCCAGGAAACTTCTTAGGAAATTATCTGGAAATCAACTGGAATTTACAGGCCTGCAAAATAAAGCATTACCAAAAAAAAAATCACATTTAATTTCACAAGAAGTATGCAGCTTTTTTTTGCTCCAGATCTCATCTGTATTTAACAGAATTTTGCAACAATATATGTGCTTACGTGTGGTAACAAAGCAAATAGAGGAAACAAACTTGAAGTCTTCAAACGACAAGTCTTCTCATCCACACAGTATTTAAGATGACTTCTTTCAAAGTTTAAATGCTACTGGTGGAACTGAATTCCTGACAACTACTTCATCAACAGCCACATAAGCAGTACAATTATCCGCACAATAAACCACAGCATGCAGTGAAAACAATCAAATCTGCCTTAAACTCTATTATCAAATCGCAGCTAAATATTGGCCAGTATGTCTTTCATCAAGGGAAACAAACCAGCAAGTGCAATTAGCTGCAAAAACAAAGAAGGATAGCAGAGGGATTTTCTATGCCCCATGGTTCGCTATACTTTGTCAGTGACACTATAATCATAGGGTTCATATGCCTAATGCGCTCGGTTGTTTTTTATTGCCATGCACAATATGCTAACAACACACTTTCCAGTGTTTGACCTTCTACTGGAAGGCTTAGTTTCCTTCCTGAAAGATGGAATTGTGCGCTCGTCACACTCGCACCATGTCACTCCTTGTCAAGAGCGCTGTGGTTAACTGTTTTGGCCAAAATGGTTTCCATGGCAAATGAATGAAACCCCAAAACACTGCAACATTATAAACCAGTGACCTATTTCTGCTGTAGCTAAATGTGCCTTGCTCTGGTTAAGATGTCAATTCTAAATTGTACAGGAGAAGGCAAGAGTCATGGTTCTATGTAAATCAAGTGTACAGAGGATACACTGTATACACTTTAGACCAGCTCAATGAACACATAATGTATTGTATAGTCTGCATTATGGTAAATATAGGAGGCAGTTTTGCAAACAATAAGCTACACAACACAGAGCCTAAATAATAATGTTCAGTACTGATTAGTTAAATTTAACAAAACAAATTGCTCATATGCTGCAATATATGCAGATGCATGAAAATAGTGGATGACATAAGCAGCCTTCCAGGTTTTTCTCCTTTAAATCCTTGACATTCTTTCTTATAAGTTATTCTATTTTCAACACTCAGGTTGGAGCTGTTGAGCATCTCTGAAATCTGGCTTTCTGGACAGATTTTCCAGCCTTTCCTGCTACCCAGCTGCAAATCCTGAAATATTTTTGTTTTTCATTATACAGTAAATGAGATATATTTATTTTTCCCTTGACAAATCACATGGAGAAGGGAAACTGGAAAATCAAAGCAATTGCATCAGCAAATATCTGAACCCAACCAGAAACACAGAAATGGAGCTCAGTTAATTATGAACAACAGGTGGTGGAGATGTGCCTTAACTTCTTCCTCCAGCTGTGTCTTCCTGAAAGCCAGCACATCTGCAATGCTCTGCTCTTAGATATAGTAAAAAAAAAACCTATAAGAAAGAAAAGGGACAAACAACCTGTTCTATGGCAAAACTCTTTCAATCTTGCATCAGCTTCTAACAAATACGTCTCCCTGGGGAACAAGCGGTGTCTTATTTCCCATCACTGCATGGTCTGAAGTGGAAAGAGGTCTGTCTCCTCTTTCAGAGGCTCCTAAATCAGGATGACCTAAACCTCTGGGGCCTGGAGCAAGCACCTCAAGGGGGACTGGAGAGTGATAAATGGAAGGTCGTGAGGAGGAGTTACGATGTGCTAGAAATTGAGACAATGTGTGTTATTAGACATACTTAGTGACGACATAGTAGCAGAAATCAGACTGACCTCGACGTTGTGTGCAGAAAATCCAGCCTGAGACATCTGGAGGCCAAAAGCTGTCCCATTCTTACTGGTTCCTGTGTAAACAGGTCAGGCTTTCAAAGCTCTGAGCCACTGTAGCAGCAGAGAAACTTAGCTATCCAGCTATTTATATTCTAAGGAGAATGGCATGGGAGTTTCAGTGTGACTGCTTCACAGTTAGGAGATTTAGTAGACATCTTCAGACAATAATTGTACAAGCTGAGTTGAAGAGTTTGTTGTCGTGTGACCGCTAGACCGCGTGATCAGCTAATCTCTTAATTTGATTAATCATTTAGCCTATAAGTAAAATTTATACAAAAGAAGCCCAAGATGACATTTCCCAACTTCTTATTTTGTCCAACCGGCAGTCCAAAGACAAAATGTATTCACTTTATAGTGATATAATAGAATAAAAGGTTACAGCTTCTCAGATGTGAATAAGCCGTGAGAAGCCCTGACCACAGATTCTGGGCACTTTTACTTGTTATTAAAGTTTGTTGCATTCCACAGAGAGCCTGTGGTTAAAGTTATGAAATAGACTCAGAAGATTTTCATGCCAATGTAGATTTAAATTCAGGTACATTTCTAAGATGCTTAAGTAAAATCTATTTTCTGGATAACCTTCCAAACTGAAGATGCGTTCCCCAAGAGCGTCCACAATGTCCTTCAGTGCTGACTCATCTGTCACATTAAAGAAGTGTTTGTCATCTGGGTCGCTGGCGATGTACTTGATTTCATTGAGGAAGGCCTCAGGGTTGATTCCTCTACGGTTGTAGTAGCCGAGGACCTGTGATGATAAGACCAAATAATTTGTCAGCCACTTTAATGAATCTGTCATTAACAGGTTAACATTAACAGGTTTCAGAAGATCTTGACTGTCACAACTCCAGTGCAGTCACCAGGACCAGTTGGTTTTCAACTAAATGACTTCAGAGTTTTTGTCCACATGTCTGTGCCCAGTTTAACAACTGGATGGAGTCAAGTGTGGCATTAGCCTTACCAGAAGTGGCACAAACCAAAGATCCATGTGGTTTGAAGGAGATCATTTACACCTTTAACTACATTTTCACTGAGCTCATGTTTGGAGTGCTCTGAGGGCATTTGTCTCTGCTCTTAACTTAGCTCTTGAGAACTCTCCTTTAACTGAAACTCCATGAGGTCACCTTATTAATGTTTATGGTGTTTTAATGTTGTGCAGGACATTTATTAGGCATTAGAAAACCTAGTTAATCTCATAAACTACAAGCTCTGTAACCCAGATGAATGATAGCAGGGCTAGCACACTCACAGCAATGGCATAACGAGTGATGCCATCCGCCTCACTGTCCTCGATGGCTTGCTGGAGGTCCGCACTGTCATGTGACTCTCCATCAGTTATAACTATCATCACCTTTTTGGCACCGCGTCGACCTCCTTGCTTGAAAGCTTGTGAGCTGTGAGGACATGTTAAAGTAAACTACAAGCTGGGGGAGAAGAGTAATAGAGTTGTGTTGCTCATTTGTACAAATGGAGATACTATACCGTGCCACATTGATTCCAAGAGCTGTGTTGGTTTCCTCGCCACCTCGTTGGTGGATACCCCGTGCTTTTTTCACTACTTCCTCAACTGATTTGTAGTCGCTGAGTTTGAATTCATGGACCACCTTCTCACCATACTGAACCACTCCAACCTGTCCAAACAAATGCAATGACTCTTATCTATCACAACTTAGATGAGCTCTATCATTTTGCAATTCATTTATCACAGTCATAATAAACCTGAAGTAGAATATGATAAAGAAAACACTTTTGTAAAAATAAAGTCCCATTTTTAAATGTATCCCACAAGGAATATTATCAGTCAATCTTGGCTTCTTTTCCTTCCTTTTTTACACACCTGTATTTGACCTGGTCCAATATAGAACTTCTGAAGAATGTTGATGAGAAAAGCCTGCACTTCGTACCAGGGGTAGATGGAGTTGGAGCCATCCAGAACAATCACTATGTCCATATATGTTTCACATCCTGTATAATATTTAAACATGACCTTGACCATGAGAACACACATGGTGAAAACATAAAAGGGGAAATAATCTGGTCTGGCTAATAATTATCAATGATCTTTGTCACATAGAAAATATATCTTACAACTTACTCTGAAAGGCAGGTGCAATTGTCCTGGAGAACTTGAAGCTCGCATTGACTCTGGAGCATATGCCAGTGCTGTAGTAAGAGCTCCCACACTCATAGGACCATAGTGGCCCACAGGCCTGACACATAAAAGAATTTTTACAAGATACATTAACGACCTCAGCATATTGGAAAAGTCAGGTTCCTGCTCTCAGAGAACTTCTGTAGGGATGTATGACACTGATGTATGACAGCAGTGAAATTAAAACATAACCTTTTGGGACAGTCCTTTCCTCTCATTGACCATTACTATTTGATTTGAAGGGTTCAAACTTGCTCAGCTCAGTTCTACAGAACACACCCAGTTACAGGTATAAGAGGCAGCCAATGACTTTCAAACTCACCACAAAACTGTTGTCTTTAGGGTTAGATGAGAGCATCATTCCCAGCCTCATCTTGTCCTTTCGCTCTGATACATTGGTCAGAGATATCCTTCCTTGAGGGAAAATTAATGTCACTGAAATGATCTTGGATACACAAACTCATATATACAGAAATACAAACATAAATAAATATATAAATATCATTTACAGACAAACAGAAGTCCCACCATCTGGGACCTTGGTTTGTTATTGCTGTCTGGGCAGAGAGCTCTAGACGTTTACTTGACAAAACCTCATGTGCTTGCTTAACCAGCATAACACATGTGCAGCCTGCACAAAGAGGCATGCAGTCAGATGTGTGTAACTCATGTGGAAATGTACATAAGCCATATGAAGCAATAGTAAAAAGTGGAATGTTTGGTATGGTACTGTATCTAACCTTCTGTTTCACATATACCACCATGATACACACTGAGACACATGCAGGAAAGCATGCAGACATATAAACACCTTCTGTATACATGCATACACATTTATCCAGATGTTGTATATTCATGCTTGTCAGTGTTACTGAACAGAGTGTATCTTGTGATTCTCTGGTTAGAAAAAAACAATTGTGGTGTTTTGTCATACTATACCTAAGTTGAGCTTGGAGCAACCATTGCCATTGTTTCGTTTGCTCAGTGAACATTTATAAATATCCCCTGTCTGGTAAGGGCCATTCATTTCATATGGGGCACCCACTAATAACCTGCAACAACCCAAAATACAAATGTTAGAATCACTTACAATGTATATCAGTATTAAGTTGTGCTTCCCATAAGGTCTCAGTTGTTGTTTATTGATTATAAACAGTTAACTAGTGCTGGTAGAGCAATACTGACAACATCTGTCGAGTAAGTCAGGCTGAGCGAGTCTCTGACGGAACATGACTGTGACTGTTAATGTCAGTCACCCAGAACAAACACATGGGCTGACATAGAAGAATTTAAGCCTTTATTTATCCAGAGAGGTTAACCAAGCATGTTTAATCAGGTCCAGCAGCACTAGACTTCACATTCATAAACAGTTTCACACAGTAACTGGCCAGCACAACTGGTCATCTCCTGCCAGTCATATTGTCATGGGCTAGAGGAAGCATATGTGGTAGTGCATATCTTGTCACACATATGCATCATTTTTCTGTCAGTGTGTTAATGAGTGTGCCAGTTTTATATTCCTACAATGTGACAGTGTGTCCTATGTGGCAACCACAGAACGCTTACAGTGTGGTCCAGGTTTGGCAATGAAATCAGTTTGGTTAAGGGTGCTGTTTTCTGCCCTACCAGTGACTCATGATTCACTAAAAGTGGCTCATTTGTGTCATTTCTGGTCTGACACACACACAGGGTAGAGAAGAAGAAGAGAAGGAAGCAAGCAAACAAAAAAAATTTAAAGTACCAGCACACCTACTTTATCATAAATCCATCAGCAAAATCCTTACGAGTTTCCTCTGGGGGGTGGGGTACACCTTGGACAATTTATAACAGGGCTGACATATGGAGACAGACAACCATTCATACTCATTTTCACACCTACGGGAAATTTAGAGTCACTGATCTATCTAACCTCCATGTTTTTGGATTTTAGGAGGAAACCAGAGAACACAAAGGAGAATATGTTAATTTGGTACAGAGAAAGGCCCCAGGCATCCAGCAGGTTCAGTGCTGTGAAGCAATAGATCACTACAACACCGTGGCTCCTCAAAGGCAGCACACAGCAGTGAAAAATGAAACATGGAAATTCATAACTACAAGCATGTACCCACAATCATTACTTATCCTATACAGAAGAAATATATACTGTATGAATAAAATCTTTCACTTTATGTTATATATTAGCATGGGAAAACACACTGGGTTGCTGTATCTGGTCATTTAAACAAATACAGTATGTTGCTATTGTTGTTTTTGTTGAAGTTGTACAGTGTGGTGCACAGGGCCTGATGGGACATAAAGCTACATTCTGACAACCATTCAGCCACTTGTATGTCCAAAGTATCTTCACTCAAGTCATTTACTTCAAATGATACAAGTATTTCCAGCATACAACTGGACAGTACAGGCCTATACTGTATCATAACTGAGACTCCTCCATGTTTCATAGTGAATATGAATAGGAAAATTCTACTTCATCATACTTTCAGCTATTTCAGATATCAAAATGTTCAGCTCTTCAAGGACATTCATGCTTCTATTCAGAATTTTTCTAAACTTCATACTCTTGAAATATTTAGCTTTATTTTGAAAATCTTGCCCCATTCAAATGAATGGGAAAATTCTACGTCAGCATAATTTCAGAAAGCTTTAATTTTTCTTCTGTGAGCACAGAGCTGATGTGACTTACCACAAAGTCATGTCCACACTGAGTGAGTACATGTCTCCATTTAAATGGATTATTAGACTGATAACACCTGTGGTACTGAAGACAATAGGCTGCTTGAAGTGTCACTACAAACCACTCATTTGTCATCACTGCTAAGGGTGATAAATAAAGTAAATGGTCTGCAGCACACTCAAAGCACTTTACACTATTTCCCATTCACCTATTTGCACACACAAGCAACTAATGGTTCAGTATCTTGCTCAAAGACACTGACATATGGACTGGAGAAGCTGGGAATCAAACTGCCAACCCTCTGGTTAGGAGACATCCTAACCAGGAGGTAGAGTGGGTCGTCGACTAACTGGAAGATTGGCACCTCGATTCCTGGATTCTTCTGTCCACATGTCATACAGTAACAGAAGCTTCAACGACATGCAACCATGTTCGGTTTGAGCACAGACAGGACAGAAACTGCCTAATCTGCTTGTGTCACTTGCCAACAGCTCATAGCTATGTAGCGTTAGCTCCTGAGCTGAGAACAGTGGGTTGAGTCATTTTTCAGTTTTGGCGCTCTTGTAGACAGGGTTTGTTCCAAGTTAGTTACAGTCAGCTAAGGTTATGCATCTTGAATTGCCATAGTCAGTAAAGTGAGATCTAAATGACTCAAGCAACCTCCCCTCCAAAAAAAAAATGTATGCAGGTAAATATAGCACAGACCTCTAAAAATGGCACCTGTCCCAGCATCCAACACGGCATGACGTACCTTCACATGCCTATACCTGATGAATGCCAATACAACCATAAGGAAGATTTCTCATTTTTATTCAGATATCTGACCATAAAACTAAAAAAAGGCTTTCAGGAAACTGATGTTTCAGCAGTTGCAGAAGCAAGGAGATGTGAATGTACTCTGACTTCATGATGGTTCAACCTTTTCCAACTTGCTATTGTGGTTTGCCATGTGGCCGCAGCAACCACAGAAAGTACAGTGACACAAGGTTTTACTGATACAAGTTAAGTAATTATACATGCTTTCAGCAGTACACAAACAGATCAAAGAAAACAAAGAGCATTTGAGGAAATCAGCTTCATAGTTTGATTATTCTGCCTTGCTGTATCCAACAATAAACTATTTATAAATCTATATTGATTCTATATTGTTTATGATTCTATATATTACTGTACATTACCCTACATATCTTACTGTAAATATCAATTGTACATTTCATTGGTAAATTATTACTGTCTGTACAGACTGTAGATACTGCATACTCTGCACTGCTGCTATCGTACTTCTGGTTAGATGCTAAACGGTATTTTGTTGCCTTGTACTTGTACATGTGTAATGACAATAAAGTTGAATCTAATCTAATCTAATCTAATCTAATCTAATCTAATCTAATCTATATTGCTTTATTAAGTGTGTCATATTTCTAACCAATTTCACTATCTTAAGCTACATCCTGCTCAGTTTTGTTGTATGATGAGATTATACTAGGTGGATGGCAGCATCCTATACTTTGTAGGATCTGAGGTTGCATTTAACTTCACAAGGGATGTCTGCTTAATAAAATAAAATAAGAGGAACTTAGATTTCCTCAGACAGCAGAGTGGAGTGCTGGGCATACTTTTCACGTGAAGCAGTGTTTTTGAGGAGTCAGTTCTGTGCTTGATTTCACTATGGATTTCCCGTGTGGGCTCAGAGTGGTCTCATAAATGTCACTACAAAGTTTTAGATGACTTGATGTGCTGGAAAATATGAAGTCATCTGGTGTACTTGGTTCCAGATTGATGGAAACATAAAGGCCTTTAGGGGAGCTATAATTCAAATGTCTATCAGAGATAAGAACTCTTTGTGTCCTTGAAGGTGGTTAAAGCCGTTTTAATCACCACTGACTATCTCTTTAGGTTCAGTCGTGTACAGCAAGACCTTTAGGGGTTCATGCTTTATCTTGTAATCTCTGTCACGTGGCCTCTGCAGATTAAATGGCTCACCATATCGACATCTCACTAGGTTCAATGTCCAGTTGCCTCAGGGTTTGACATACCTTAGTAGATAAGAGGACACAGCCAGACTGACCTCAGCACCTTGTCTCCATGGTAAATGTTCATATGCAGCACAAACAGCACAGCCCATATAGTGTATACAGTATTAAACCCTAAATGTATTACAATATCAATACAATTAATACTCAATCGCATTTAAAAATATAAAGAAAAAACTGCAATAATAACAAAGTAGTCCCATATTTTCTAATCATTGCCAAAATGGGTCAAATACCAAATTAAAATGGTTTTATTAAAAGGTAAAATAGTGAATTCAAGGAAATGAGCAAACGAACTGATCACCATACACATAAAACACAGCTTTAAACTCTCTAGTTTATTTTACATTTACAGTGGGTACGGAAAGTATTCACACCCCCTTAAATTTTTCACTCTTTGTTATATTGCAGCCATATGCTAAAATCATTTAAGTTCATTTTTTTCCTCATTAATGTACACACAGCACCCCATATTGACAGAAAAACACAGAATTTTTGACATTTTTGCAGATTTATTAAAAAAGAAAAACTGAAATATCACATGGTCATAAGTATTCAGACCCTTTGCTGTGACACTCATATATTTAACTTAGGTGCTGTCCATTTCTTCTGATCATCCCTGAGATGGTTCTACACCTTCATTTGAGTCCAACTGTGTTTGATTATACTGATTGGACGTGATTAGGAAAGCCACACACCTGTCTATATAAGACCCTACAGCTCACAGTGCA